GTTCCTAAATATAAGTTTTTCTACATACGGAGCAAAATGAGTGAATTTACACTCTAAAATATGTCTATATACATCCGTATGTTTCGTTCCTAAATATAAGTAGTCAATTGTTGGAATGTCAGCTCTCCCTTGATCTCGCTACAATAAAATATGGGTCCCACTTAATCCTAATAGCGTTCTTATTTTCTCTAAAATTATTCACTTGCTTACTCCTAACAAGTGGGGTCCACACTTATCATTGTGAGATAGATAGAGTTGACTTGTGGGTATCGGGGTATTTTGTCATATAACATGGTCAACGAGTTTGACCTGACAATAACAATGTCTAATGGCATTTCTGAGCAAACATCTAATGGAATGATGGCAATTTTCAGATATCTAATGGCATTTTTGAGAAAACATCTCATGGAACGATGGCATTTTTGAGCGTTTGTAATTTCTAGTGGCAAAACTGAGCAGTGAGACACAATTAGTGGCATAAATGATAAAAACCCTTTAATCTATACTCACTTAGCTTAAAAAAAACATTCACCACACCTAATACCAAAATAACAGTTCCACTAGAGATGCGGTGTCATGTGCCGTTGAAATGAAATGCACCGAGCACATTCATATTTATCCTAGATCAGTTTTCAGCATAAACTTTTTCCATCCATTGCTGAGTTAATTACGATCATCAGGATTTCATGTACCACAAAAAACTCAATTAGAAAAACACAACTTTGTTTCTGCTATAAGGAAATTCATCATAGTGGCAAAGAGTGCAAAATATGAGACCAAAAATGCGCATGAAAACCTGGCAATGATCTGTTCAAATAAACAATACAAGTTCTCAAAGAAACTATGTCAACTTTCAAGAAACACTTGATGAAGAAACAACATGACAGCAGTATTAACAAAATCTTGAATAGGAAAGGATGTTCTAAACAATGGCAGGTTCCCATGAATTATGATTTTGAATGCAAAGAAGATAGCTACAAGAATTTCTTGTTCTCAATACAAGTCTATTGTGGATAATAACACACATGTCCAGGATATTTTGTTACAACAAAGGATATATGGTAGGCTGACCTGATATATGTATGGCAAGAAGAAA